TGATATGCTTGCCACATGATTTTTTTGCTTAACATATGTTTGTCACTTCACGAAATTTATAATTACTATTCTTCCGTAGCATTGTTTGCTTTTTTGTCACTGGAATTACAAATTTGGCCCTCAGGAACTTGTCTAGGGAGTAATATGTTCGTTCTTATTTGTTCTGCGTAGCAACTTGTCATTTGTTGTTTCAATGGAATTTAATGAACTCACATTATTTGTTTACATGAGTACATTATGATATAGTGCATACTTACACTTTCTGGTTTTTATCATCTTAACTCTATAAAATACAACGATTGATTTTTCTCATAGTCTTATTTCAGCGTAGATTTTACAGTTTATTTAGTATGCTGTCTTCTTTTATAGAAGAATATTTATATAAGCGAACGCATACGAACTCTCTCAATAATAACAAGGCTGGTTGTTGCATCGGAGATTTCATTCCGGAAGAAGGTCTTCCAGAATTAATGAATGATGTTGTCGATGATTCTGGAGATTTTTGCTCCGCAGCAATAAATGTTGAGAGACTTCATAGAGATGGTAATTACTTCATTTTCACTTCTTTTCCTTACTTCATGTTCTTTTCTTTATAATGAGGAATACAGCTGTCTTTAACTTCTAATATTTTTCATACTTGGTATTGAACAGACTGAAGTTTAGAGTTAGCAGGAGACAGTGCGGCAAAAGATCATCAATCAGTTAGAAGTAGAGTTAAAGAAATTCAACTTCGGAAGCAGGTGATAAAGCGGGAAGCAGAAAAAGTGGACACGGTAAATTTCTTCTTGAATAATCTGATATTACCTCCCAAATATTCATTTGTTTTGCTTCAGTCAACTTCCTGAAAGAAAATAAATATAAGTAGCGATTGTTTTTACAGTCTAGCATTCAATAAAAAGCGTTATTAGGAATTCTGAACAGCGGTAGTGTACGTAAATATATATCGGTATTAATAATTCATACAGCTGATATATTATGTTATAGCAGAATGGCAATAATAAGCACTTATCAGAGATATCTCAAATGGAGAACTTGCAACTGTCAGAAAACAAAGAAAAGAAAAAAAAATCCTCGGACCAAGTATTGAGAACAAGTGCTAGCAGCAAAAGACTGGCTGCTCTTGATGCCGCATTAAATGCTGTTGTACAGCCATCTAAGTCAGTTTATTATTATTTAGTTCTTTAGCTATATATACACCATTCTTTGGTTTACAGGCATCATTCAACTATTAAAAGGGCTATTTTAAGAAATAACGAATGCTGGTTTTTGAGCAGTACCGCTATAATAAAGGATATTTCAGAGTGAAGCAGCACTTTCAAGAAAATAAGCCAATGGTTAATTTAGTCATTGTTGGCCATGTAGATGCTGGTAAAAGTACACTAATAGGACATCTTCTATATCAAGTATACTTTTAAGTCTCAAAATATACGGGTTAGGAATAGCTAAAGTCATTCATTCGGTATAGTGGTGAGAATCCCACTTATTTGGTATAATGGCTAAATTGAAAGTATGCAGAATGTATCAGACCAGAAACTAATTATGTTTCACCACACAGTCTCACCAACTGAAATTATGTAAATGATCAAAAAATATCGACCTTAAACTTTATGTGAAAAAAGATTGTTGCAATCATTGCATTCCAGCAAATAAGATCATAATTTATTCATGAGGATGATTGAAATTCTTTATGTCCTTGTGAAAGATATAATTTTACAGTTGGGTAGTGTTGATGAACGGACTATGCATAAATATAAACAAGAATCAGCTAAAACTGGCAAAGCATCCTTTGCATATGCTTGGATTCTTGACGATACACAGGTGTGCTACCATTTCAATTTAATGTTTTTTTTATTAGAATTTGTGACATGAAGAATATTTTGAACATGAATTTAGTATTTCCTTGTTGAGTTTCATATGGATAAATAGATTCAGCTTAGGAAGAAAGGCAACGAGGTATAACAATGGATATTGCACGGACAACGTTCGAAACTGAGCATCGGAAAATTTTCGTTCTAGATGCACCAGGTCATAAGGATTTCATTCCCAACATGATTATGGGTATTCGTACTTTATTTACCTTACAATTGTTCTTTTTTAAAGCTTTTTTAATTTTTTCAATATTGTCGAGGCTAAAAGGTATTCTAAACACCACACAGAAATTGCAATGCTTAATATAACAGTAATTCCGTATTAAGTAGATTTCTGTATGGTGTTTTCAATATGAAGTTTACATTTTTAGAGTGATTATTTGTTCATAGAATGTTATATCTTATGGCTTTAGGTGCCGCTGAAGCAGATGCTGGTATATTAGTTATCAATGCAACTCGTGGAGAATTTGAAACTGGGTTTGATCAGGGAGGTCAGACGAGGGAACATGCTGTCTTACTCAGATCTCTGGGTAAACCTTGTTGTTTAGTTAACTTGTATAACGGCTACCCTTTCAAGAGATACGATGTATGCAGATTTGATTACTTTCCGTATAGCTTCAAAACTTTCAACTATTTGTTCATTTGATACTGGAGAGGAGATAGTACTTATTATTTTGCAGGAGTAGGTGAACTAATAGTTGCCATAAATAAGATGGATACGGTGAACTGGTGTCAACAACGTTACGATGAACTTTGTGCCACTTTAAAGGTTTTCCTTAGAAAGCAGGCTTCCTATTCAGCAGTTAAATTTGTTCCGCTTTCTGGATTGGATGGAACAAATTTGACAAAAGCTCCACCTGATGGTCACTCTTTGTGCACATGGTATCAAGGACCAACACTTTTGCAAGTAATGGGTGAGAATAATATTGTGTTTCCTAGGAATATATAATTTTAGATTTGCTTGAGAGGAGAAAGGCATTATTCTAGTTTGGAGAGTTTGTATCAACACTACTAGTAAAAGAGCTGAAATATGAAGGAATGTAAAACAGATTAACTGTATTATCTTTTTAGATGAAATGCAAGTTCCAGTACGGTCACAGGATCGCCATTTCCGAGCTGTTATTAATGATATATACAAAGCCTCAACGTCAGCGCTTTCAGTAGGCATCAAAATTGAGGCTGGTTTTATAGAAAATGACGAGAAAGTGTACATAATGCCAAATGCTGATCCTGTAATTGTTAAAGGTATCTTAATCGTCTATTTCATTCTTGTGCTTATCACTGAAAAACATATAACTTGAGGACTAGTTCCACCATTTGACTTTTTGAAAAAATAAAGAATAATGATTTTTATTTACTTTACACATGAAATCTGCATGCAGGGATAGTTGTGGAGGCCAATTCGAGGAAAGACATTGGCTTTGCTGGCGATCAAGCTACGGTGACTCTAACACCTGTTTTAAATATCGAACCCAATTCCATGAGCATTGGATACGTTCTTTGTCGTGGTGGACAAGTTATTTTCCTATATTTTTATTTTTCGTTCAATTTTTATTTCTTAATTACTCCAAATTAGAAAAGCAGGAGTGAAATTTTTTTACTTCCATCGGATAATAAAGAACCAAGAATCTTACATTAAATTCAGCCATAGGTTTGACGTATTGCATAGTATGGAACCGCATGAATGCTTGAAGTGTTTTTATCTTTTTAAATCGATGTGTTGTAGGAATGTCTCATCCCTGGAAAGAAATATCTGGTGCGTATTGTTGTTTTCGATATTGTTATTCCGATCATAAAAGGCACTAAAGCTGAACTTTTCGCACATTCGTTGTGCGAACCTTGCACCATCACATTGTTGAAGGCAGAACTAAATAAATCTACAGGCGAAGTGATAAGGCAAAAACCTAGGTTTTTTTCTTTGACTTGTTTTATTTTCTCATTTATGATATCGTTATTTCTGGATGTGAAGCAGACTCGCTGGCATTTTATTATTTATCAACATTAACCTTCTTTCCGTTTTCTAATATTTTGAATTTCTTAGTGTCAACATTCTTTATGTTGATGTTCACAGGTTAAACTGGAAAAAAAAGAGGGTCAAAAAAGATCGCGTTGTATGTGGTCGTATGTATTAAGTTGATAAAGATGACACATTATAGCTCTCCGGTCAATTGATAACAATTGTAAATTTTAGAGCACTAACAAAACATATGAGTGGAACGATTGAAATTCAAACTGAACGAGCTGTGAGCTTAGAACGGTATTCGGAATGTAAAGCACTTGGTCGTGTGACACTTCGCTGTGTGGGACGAACTGTTGCAGCAGGCATCATTGAACAGAGATTGGATTAATTGAATGCTTTTTTTATATGCTTTTCATAATAAATGATTCCATTTTCAATGGCACCATCACTATGTAAATAATGTTAACTACCTTCAAATATTCTTTATATTAAAGTTCACAGATTAAACTGGAATGACTATCCCGAAGCTATAGGTTAGCCTGTCTTTCCTTCCAAATCGTGCTCATGTTTTAATTTAAAAGACCAGTCTCTTCTTTTTCTTGAATTTTTCTTTTTTTATATTTATTTATATTGCTCAATAGTCTATTGTCAACAGTCAATATCATTTTTATTAAGCAATTATCTGAATAAAATTCGTGAACAATAAATTGTATACAATATTTCATATGAGAGATGACGTATCCGAATCACAGACTTTATCGCCACAATCTGATTTTCATGTTAGTAGACGCCAACATCACGTTGGATGTTGATTTTTATGTATCTCACTTAAGCCACACTCCTCCCAGTGAGTCCTCAATAGCTGGCCACACTTAACAAAACCACCTCTACAAGATTTTTGTAAAATATTTGCTGGGATATTTCAGGCTTTGGATCGTGGGAAGAAGATCGTCATCTCAATACTCATCTGTTTTCATTGGTAGTATACATTGTCTGTGTGTGCATTAAAAACGATTATGTATGGTGCAATGAGTTAGTATTGCCTTCAACTAAAGTTGATTTTGTAATGTTGAAAGTCTTGATATGAGGAGTTGGTTGATCACAAAACTTATTTTAGGTTGTTTGAAGTTTCCGCTGTTTTTTGTTTGAACTTATCTGCTCTAATCCCGTTTCTAAGGTATGATACTGAATTCAGGAATTGGCGGTCGATCCATTTTTAAGTCTGGTTGGTGTCCATTGATTCCTTGCATTTCTGCTGTCTTAGCCATTCGCTTCCTGATTTGTTTCAATCGCTTATTCACAGCACGCTCAGCTGGCGTACTATAGGTTTTATTCTGGTCAAATCGACCTCTAACCCGATGAACTATTGACAATATAGCTGGCAGAACCACAAGACCGTGCAAATTGCATAATATAACAGAAGTAACCATTGTTTTCACAAAGACCTAAATGTAGTGATTAGTGTATCTCATAAAGAATTATTCTAAAAGACATAGTATTAGGTTTTAAATATTTTAGATTCATATAAAAAGAAGATGGAGTAGTTTTTGATAGAGATACCTGCGACATATAAATTCCAGCAAACCATAAGCTGTAAACACACAGTATAGTAGATAATGCTGCCTGCACAGCTGGAAATCCTACCGAGGTAAGACAGTTGCCAAGTTTAGCTTGGGGTGTCGATTGCTCGTCTAAATGAAGGAAAATTTTAAAAAATATAGGAAATATAAGTATGAAATTTAGTTTATAGTGGCCAAAAATACAATCCTCTCTTAAGACACTGATGACAAAACAGCAAAAAGTAATAGAGTGTGGAGTATTAGGCTTGTTTGGCAGACAAATGCTTACTGGCTTTGCAGTAATGATAAGCAACATGTGCTGGAATATCAACACTAAAGCCAGTGGATATTATCATCGCAGCCATTGAAATTGGATCTAATTCAACATTCCACCAAGACAGTATGCCTAAGATACCTAAAAAGTAAACCTTTATAGAAATCATTCATAATTAATGTTCAAGTCAATCAACCTAAGTTCTTTTCAAATAGAGTCATTTATTAAAGATATCTCATTCTGATCGAATAAGCATTAAAAATCTTCGTAAATTTCATGTTTAATTTAATGATGAGTTTAGGCTATAGTTCTGAACTATTTAATCTTTTCATTGCTGTTTGCTTTGTTTGATATGGTTAATAAATCAAGCTTACCAATAGACACAGAGAGGACAGAGGCAGTTGCAATAATCACCGTAAGCATATTCCGAAGAAACAAAAAGCATACCGCAGCCATACAAATCAGTGTACCAGCTATCGATTGCCACGTATCCGTCGGCATATTATCGATCAGATCCAGAAAGATGGCGTCTTCATGGAATACGGAAGCATGGAATGATTCGCTTCAATAATGAAAGCTGATTAGGAAGAAATCATCATATTATCATTCAAGAAAATGAACAAAATTTGACAAAATTACAGCAACGATGGTCAGTTATTAGCTTATGTAATGATATTTTCTCCTTTTCTCGTCATCATTTCCTCTCGTCTGTCATTCTAAATCATTATTTTTTAAACTACAAAACTTACTACATAGCTTTGTCTACGATAGCACGCCATCGTTTAAGTAATTTCCCTCGTGTCGTCCATACTTTCAAATTTTCATCATGATAGGCTGTGGTGAAAAAGAATCTTTTCAATTTTTTTTTCCTGAAATAACTCGTCATGTCTTATTAAAGTCAAATACTCCTGATATATCTGAGCTAATCTATAAATGCATTTATGAATGCGCATAAAACATAATTTTACCGCATTCTACTGACGTATCTCTCTAATGGTTGTTAGGTATGGAATTTGAATGAAAGTCAAATATTACAAACTTTCCATCGGTGCTTAAATTTTGCAACTGGACGAAGCCAGACCAAAAGTCATATTCTGGCCATGTCAAAAAATTTGCTAAATCATCATTATTGAATTTGAGAGCATCTTCCGGATTTATTGTTGTGGTGCTAACATCATCCAAAGAGTCAAAATCATAATCATGTTCTGCTGAAATGAATAAATACAGAAATAGAATTGTGTTTAAAGTCTTTTTGCTAGTTAGTTATACTCCCTATGAGAATAATGTTCCCGTAAATCAGGATACAGTCAATAATAATAAATAAAAATAAAAACAAACATTGCAAAAAACTCTGGAATAAAGCAAAATCGCGCACGAAATACATGGTACCAGTAGGTCCCCAGCTACCGTCAAGGTTCTCAAAATCCTGAACCATATTATTCATCAGAAGAAGGGGCAGTTTCTGAGACAAATCTCCTGGTGTCTCCACAAATACCGATGCCATCGTAAAGAACGGTATCTGATATTTTACGCGTAACTTATCGAGCTATAAAGGACATAAAGTTAGATTTGTAATAGACATCTAATAATAACTACAATCTGTCAAAATGTTTGAAAACAGTCTGTGGCAAAAACCTTTATCAGTGGTGAATCTGCTGCAAATAGTTTCTGAGGCGTTAAACTGATATTCATCCGTGTTATCCCCTCAAATGATAATTTATATTGGTGTATCTAATTACATCTATGAGAGCATAAATATAGAATTAGATGAAAAGATAAAAATGTTGCTAGAAATCAAAAATTGTTGATAAATGACAAATTTCTAAGTTATTGAGATTAAGATGAACTATTGATCATCTAAATGAATATCTTCTGAGGAGCAATGCATAAATGAGAAAGATAAACAACAAGAAAACATACCCATACTGATATGATAATGTAAGTAATATATAGAACAATGATTAGAGTAGCTATCGAAGCATGAGCAATGATATTCACATATACTCGCATGTATTTACTGATGTACAGCTTTGATTTATCATGAAATCTCGAATTTTTACGCTGAAAGATATGAAATCATTAAGGATAGAATCAGAAGAATGGCCCAATCAATCAATGACATAACAAGTGGATCGGTTAGCGGATATCCAGTTGATATCAGTGAAATATAATCATATTCCAATAACAGAATGAAGCGATATTAGTTTGTAATGATTAAGAAATAAATTTTTCCTGATATGATAATATAAGGATAATGACAAGCGTTACTATTGCAAAATGGGAGATAATATTATTTGGAAAATTAATAGAGAAAACTTGCAGTAATCTCGCTATATTTTCTGATATTCACTTGAGTTTTCTGTATTGTAATATTTGTGATATTATCTTCATTTTTCTCTGCTGCAATCTCGAATTTTCCAACAACGGACATCAGACCGGAATAAAATAACATCTAAAAAATGAAGTGAATAAAGTTATTGCAGAAAGAAAAAGGAATATTTTCAAGTGTATCACTTACCTGATACAAATACGCCATAAACATGGAGAATAAATTTCCAATGCATAGTAGACGAATTTCAGGAGAAGATGTAAAACAACCAACAGCATCAGCCAATATATTAGTTATTGCGGAGATTAATATAGCGGGGCCAACTTCACTGAGTACCTGAAATATCACATCAAACTACGTAAAATGTAATATGCTTAATTAATAATTAATAAAATTTGAAGAAAAATCAGACCTCAGACATTCGATGTCCAACAGTTCCACTCTTTTTCTCACCATCCCGTATCTCCTTTGTTACTCGCTGCCATTCATGGATCATTAAGTACGAACTATCAATACCTGAATTATTCTTAGTACTTAACACTTAGTACTATTAATTCTTAAATTGTACTTACTTGGTACTTGGCATTATCAATACCTGAATTGCTCTAACTCAATGCCTAGTACTACAAGTACTTAAACTATTGATACCCAATATAAATTAAAACTTTTTAATCAGGTACAGTCTTTTTCACTTCATATGATTTAAAAAGATTCATTTACTCTCTTACCAATAGATAGGACCAGAAAAGGTATGACGCAAAGTATTGAGGAGAATCTCATACCACACAAAAAGAGTATTGCTAACGCTGTAGAACATGCTAGTAATGGTGTGGCGCAAGCCATTACCGCCAGAAAAACCTGAAATCTATGAGTATGTCACACTGAAAGTATATCACAAGAAAACTAACGATGTTAGCATGAAAGATGAAGATGAAAGGGTAAATAAATAAGTCAGATAAGAAAGCAAAAAGTTAAACAAAAAATCAGCTAACCTTGAATACATTATTTTGATGCATATAAGCAGCTCGAACCATTACTGTAATTACAGAGCAGGTACACATGATAATAAAGCCTGCAGTTAGATACGGTAGTAGTGATATTCCGGCACGAACCATTTCTTCTTCAATATAAGTGGTGGAAGCGACATAAATTGTCAAATGTTCTGATTGATAATTCCTACAAGATTTAAAAAGTAGGTAGTACAAAAGACACTTTAGCACATATTTTAATTATCTGTCCTATTCTTCAAAACATTCCAAAACAAACTGATCACTTCTAGTAAATCAGGAAAAATCAGAAAATTTGAAATACTCGAAGAAATGGACGACATTCATTTCCCATTGTTTCATATCATCTTTACTCCATTGAGGATTCTGCAGGGCACGAAGTTGAAGTGAAATCATCTTAACTGATTTCATATTTGTTACTGCTGGATGTGTTTCATTCCAGGCTACTAATAGATCAATATTTGTATCATTTCCAAAAAGTTGATGCACTCCTTCCCTTTCTTCATCGATATCCTCTTTTGTTTCATTTCCGTTGTATAGTTCTACACCAAAAAAGTAGGGCTAAAATTAATATGTATCATATGATGCCACAATTTATTCCTCTTGGCGCTTTTGGATAAAATAAGGTGAGAATTTAAGTTTTGAATAATTAATTAGAGTTGTAATTTGCTCCAGGAGGTAGTAGTTAGCTGGTTTATAAAAATGATTTGAATTTTAAGCATAAAGATAGTGTAGAAGTACAGAATTTATTTATTATTATTATTAGCAAATGCTAGGGAAAATTCATATCTTCCTAATTCATAACCAGCAGTAGATATGAACTTTTATCATCTTGATAAGAGCAACTTACATAATTATTGCATTGCTCATCCTTAGTCATTCCATAAATTCAAACAATCGTATATATTGATTAAAATTAAAAGTAAACAATACCTGAATACTTATTTCACGGCCAAACAAGGTACTAATAGGATAACGAAGTCGTAGATATGGATTTGGACGATCACCGTTGTCAACATTCCATTTCTGTACCATATATGCATTCTGAAATTCTCCTCAATGATATTATCATTCAAATAATTGTAAACATCAATAAATTAAACTGTGAAAAAGGGAAAAAAAAACAATGAACGTATTTCATGATAATCGTCAAACAATCCAAGTACAAATAATCAACTGACAATCGATATAGCTCTGTGGATCATATCATTATCATCGAATTAGATATGTAATACTATTTAATCGTCAAACTCTTTAAATAAGATAGTATAGCTATTCTATTTTTATACTGTGTATTGTGCATCGCTATTTTCCAACAACACGAAAAAGTGCTTGAATCATCAAATTTTTGCAATTTATCAATTATCTTATCAGTTCAGATAACAGATTTGTTTATTTTCTTTTTCTCTCTCTTTTTTTTTTTTCAAAATGAAAAATGCTTTATACATAATTCAAACTGACAAAAACGCTTTTTATACCTATTTAATTATCAATAAGCAAACTAGATTGTCAACTATAAAGGTCAAATAAGTTACGACTGAGTTAAGGTGGATGAATGCATTAACTTACATAAAACTGTAATACGGGTTCGTTTATATTGCAAAACTCTCTGCAGAATTGATTGAAGGATTGATTGTTACGAGTAATTGGATCGTACAGTGTGATATTGTTAGCAGCTAAATGTAGCACCTAAAAATGCATTATATCTAAGGTTATCATTTGTTATATTACGTTTGTTCATATATTCATATCTGATGTCAGTTACGGTATTAATATAAAATGTTATCGACTAGAATGTTATCATAAAATGGGACACTGTAACGACATGGGGACACACCTTTATGGTATCGTTGAGATGACTTTGTCGAAGCATAGAATTACCGTCTTTGGCGGTGATATACAGATACGTGGATATTGCTAAGCCACGTCCCGAGAAGAAGTTTAAATACTTGTCGTATTCAATGCGTGAACGTGCTTCGAATGGTGAGTAACCTTCTAGATCATTACGTTGTCTATAATAATAGCATTATTGCTTGAAATTCATCAAAGCATCTCATATGACATTTTAACTTTCATATCATTTGCTTTTAATTAAATTTAATGAATTTTTCCGTTTAATAACAGCTTTTCTCCGGTAGAGTATAAAATAAAGAAGAACAAACGGTGTATAAGATATCTTGATGAGTGCTAGTAGTGAAATCAGTATACAGGAGATCATAGCAGGCCAAGCAAAACGAGTAATCCAGAAACCCCACTTGTTGTATATCTTAATTATAAACTTAACAAATCTGAAATAAAAATCAATTATTTATACTTGATATTTACACTGATACTATAAATTAATATAACTTATCATTTTATTATCAATGCAATAATAAATTAGATGATAAAATGAAATGAAACAAACTTTGGCTCTTTCTCTCCGAATTCTTCAAGAAGTTGCATGGAACGCTTTCCTACTAGAATACTTGATCGTCGATGTCCATGAAGAGATTGTGATGACAAATCTTCATATGCTTGAGAATGCATCCATGAATTACCATAATCAATACCGGAATATTTTGGTACATTGTTACTTCTCTCCGTATTCCATGAAAAATCTACAAATAAATTAGATATAGCATAATTTTTCTTCTTTTTCTTATAAAGAATAATTTTAAAACAAAATTATATGCAAGAAATGTTCAAATATGAATTCTATGTAGTAATAAATGAAAAATTACCGTCTTTTGGATTTTTCCCCTTGATTCTTGGATTTTCCCAGTGAACTGATGTAGCTGTTTCTTTAGGATGTTTCGTTTCCTGCGACATCGCAGGAATGATTGGAATGTAACTTTTCTTGTTTCTATTGGTGCAGAGATCCGTTTATGGATCTTTTCAATGATTTTGTTTTGATCAGCGTTTTTTTTCGATATCTGAGGAATATATTTTTCTTGTTGAGAGAAATCATAACAGATTGTAAGTTATATTAAGATTGGCAATATAATATAACTAAGAATAAGTAAAAGATATTTATCTGAAAGTGATTTGGAAATTGTAACAAATCAATAGCAAATTATTTAAGTGTTAGGAAAAATTAGATTCAGAAGGATATATTAGTTAATCATTTTATAAGATAATATTCAAATAAAAATAAGGAAACGATTTTTCATTAGTTAATCTGAAATAAATTCTATAATTTATGTGTATATTTTAAAAAATATTGAAAATCTGAGGGGAATTATCAAACAGTCTTGAAATGCACTGCTTTCTGACGATGAAAATTATGGGAAATAAAACTAAGAAAGAAAAAGGAACAATAAAGAGATATGAGTTATGGGAACTTATCAAAGATTTTTAAAAAAAAAAAGAATAATTCCATTAGGTTAGCTAAAATATTTTTGGAGAGTCGAATTATCGGTAAGAAATACGAAAGCTGGTTAATAGCAACTGAAAGTGTTAAACAACAAAATAACATTTGTTGACTGATTTTAAATTCCAAAAAGAAAATTCTAATATTATTTTTAAGAGAGAAGGAGGGAAAGGGTGAGAAAGAGAGGTATGGTTTAATGTCCTTAGAACTATCTGATTCGCGAATCGGTGCTACAATGCTTATAAAAAGCAGGTTCTTTTAATGAAAACCAAAAAATGAAATATTGGAATGGGCGGCGATGATGATGATGAGTAATTTTAGTATGATTGGAAGCATAGGTAAAGAGGTATGCATAGGTAAAGAACAGGTAAAGAAGTATTTATCATCACAAAATAAAATAGTGATTGACCTCTTGATAACCTATTCCTTTTAATATCAAATTAATAACTAATTAGATTAGATGACAGATTAAAAGAGTATTAATTATTCCAACTGAAGTAGACAATGATTGACAATAGCATACCTGACCTTTCAAATTCATTTAACTAATTAAACTGTCCCTAATTCACTAGACTACTTTAACTATTCATTTATTTTCAGATTTTCAGATTTCAGATAATTTTCGAGCAATAAATTGAGAGCAAATAAGTGAATATTTTTTTGTGCAGAATTTTCATCATCTAATCGTCATGTCGAAAGAAACTTGCTCATTCCTTTTAATATCAATTTACATTTTATAACTGTTTCATCTATTCAACACATGCAGTAATCGAACAATAACGACATTTTTTCATAGCCGCTTCTCGTTACTTATAAAATTATATTTCAGCATTTTATACTTGAAATTTTCTAGAAAAATTAACTTAGAGATTTAGGTCTTTTACATTACTCTTAAATTTAAATTGTTTGAATGGGATTTTGATTTAATTTAAAATTAAACCTTACAATTTATTACACCTTACAAATTTTTTGATTTAAAATTACACCTTACAATTTATTCAAACCTCAGCTGAAATTTTTGCTTTCCAATTTTAGTTTGAATCTGCTATTATGTTTAAGTTTATGCTTGTTACATTAGAATCTAAGCTTACATAATATTATATAATTCATTTGCACTCTGCATCGTCTTAAAATTACTTTTGCATTCTTATTCAATGGGTGTTGTTAATTTGATCGTATAAATTATTCATTATAATTTTGATTTTGCTTGCTTTGTTGTAAATTTAACATTAATTGGCTGGAAAAATATTAAGGAAAATTAATGGAAATTCAATAGAGATATAAAATAAATTTTGATAGCTATTGGTATGAATCAGTAATAGAATTATTAAATCTAATTTAAATCAGTTATTTTCTTTTTTCGTTCTTTTTTTATTATGCAATTAAATGGTAATTAGATGTGGTAAAAAAAATTACTAATAAAAGTAAAAGGAATGGAAATAATATGAGAAATGGAACAGTTGTAGAACAGCCATATTTAAAAAATAATAAAAGAACATTTTGAACAACTCTTCGTCTTCATTTTATATTGTCACATACTTTATTTTAATAGATGACAGATGTTATGTAATAGTGAAGCAGATCGTACTACACTGCCAAAATTACCATTCGATATAAATCGATGTATAACAATTCTGAAGAAATTCGATAAAAAAAAGACGGCTGTTTTTTTAATTCATGCTAGTTTATCGATCAACCGGTATGTAGAATCAGGAATCACCAATCATGTTCATTGCATACTTCAGTAATTATTTCAAAATTAGTCGTCTGTTACAAATAATTTGGAAAAATAACTGTAACGAGCTTTTTTTTTTAATTATCTATTTTTATTTTTATTATGAAATTATTTTTGTTGGTAAAAAAGAAAGGTTTAAATCAATTTAAAAAATCATCTCTGACTTTGGAAAGAAAAACAAAAAGAAAGAGCAGAAAGTTATTCTTTTTGAAATTAGCAAATTGATAATAGCAGTAAATGTTATTACTGAAATAATGAAATAAATAATTGATTATTTTGATTGTTTCAGAATTAATTGTTATTATTGAATAGTTGTTAGATTTTCAATAAAAAGACGTAAATATTTGCATTTGTTTTCCAGGACAAAGAAATAATTTTATCTTCAAATTAACTGACTTTAATTTGTTAATGGAAGTTGAACTAAGATGAAATTTTAATCATAGCAATATAACATTATATTATATTTAAATTTAAATTAAGTCAAACTTTCTAGAATAATTTTTACTCTTAAAATAAGGTAATGTGTGAGATTTGTTTATGTACAAAATTTTATTTAAGCTAATTATTGCTAATTATGGTCATCAAGAATCAGCCAAATATTCGTTTCTTATCATAACTTTTTACAATTTATTTACATGACTGTTATTTCTAGTGATCGTTGAAAAAAGCAGGTTGTAAAATAAAGACCCCCCCAGTGTGAAGGAAAGAAGATGAAGGGGTGATGAATTGTTGCTTTATATAGTATAAAAAACTGTTGACATCTAAGAAAATTTTTGTTTTGAAAATGTCAATCGTTTCTTATGTAGTTTTTAGGATAAAGTTTGTAAATGATCTTTCATGGAAAAAGAATGAAGCACGGAATTTTAACTGTGAATGAATTGTACATTATGCGAAGCAAAAAAGTAAAAAAATTTCCAATTTTTAAAGTTAACATGAGAAATTTTACATTATACTCAGAAGGGTACGAATAATGTTCAACTGATGTGTGAGAAATTAAATTCAACTTTGAGACATTTTTCTTTCTAAATAAAATAGCAAATAATAAAATTACACGTTGAAATGATGAGATCACATGGTAGAAGACTGTCCGATCGCATGATGTATCTCTACGAAAGCTTTTTAATCGAGATTTATCTGTTGATATTTATTTCTTTTAAGTTTCGCCGATGACTTTTGTCGAATTCATTTCCAATGAAAAACAATTGTTATTTTTCGCATCGTTAGCCGTACAATTTTGCCTTTTACTGCTGGTTCGTACTCTGTTTATGGCTTTACATTGAGTTTTTAAGATGGCTTTTTCTTGCAAATGGAAAAAACATCGAAAAACAATAATAAGCATCCATATCTATAATTAAAAATTTTTTATTTTTTACTGAAGATTAGTTAAGTTCATTTGATTTAATAATTATTAAAGGTAACTTCACTGGTTTTTGTTATTTACTGAATGATTTGCTCGGTCATTTTTCAAAAAAAAAATTTTTTGATTTTCAAATTTATTGAATTTTTGAATTGAAAACAAATCTAAAACCTGCACTAAACCGAGCAAAAACACAAATATGCAAATGAATGATAAGATTAAAGCAAATGTTCGAGAAATGTAAATTAGCTCATAGGTTGATTTGCCTGCCATAATTAATGCCAAATCATTAGCAGCACCATCCTCAGCATTAACAATCCTGAAATTTAAATAGTGTTTTGTTTATAATTACAAAAAGAAGTCTTTTCTAAAGTTTCATTTGTTTTTTTTTTTTGAAAACTGTAAAATGTGTCATTAATTGGATTGTCAAAATTTGACTGATGTAAATTTTTCAAAGTGGAGATGATTTGAATTTATTTAAAATTAGACTTTTTTCAATTAGCAAAATTTCTTCCATCATTTTCAGAGTTAATTAATTAATGAGTGTAAGTAAACTTTGTATATGTCAAACGGATAAAAGTAATGGACAGAGAATGATTTCAAACGATGGAATTTTTAAAAGTTTTGATAGTGATTGTATAAAAAGAAAAGACTGTGCAGCCAGCATGACTTCAAATGTCATCCTTGAAAGCCTATCTGATACATAGTGTGTTTACTGATCTAATCTGATCAAAAAATATTGATAGAAAGTGGTGAAGTTTAATCAAATGAATT